TAATTATCTGTATTATAAATAAAAAATGAATACTTTTAAACTGATCAAGTGATAGGAAAAATGTAAAGAAATGTATGTTACAAAAGATTTCTATTTAAAGAAAATGTTGTTTTGAACTTTCTATTCATCAAAAAATTCTGGAAAAAATGTTCCATGGTTTCCACAAAATTATTAAGCAGCACAACTGTTTTCAACATTAATTAATAATAAAAATAAATATTTTTTGAGCGTCAAATCAGCATATTAGAATGATTTATGAAGGATCTGGACTGGAGTAATAGCTGCTAAAAATTTAGCTTTGACATCACAGGAATAAATTACATTTTAAAATATATAAAAACAGATAACAGTTATTTTAAATTGTAATATTATTGTAACTGTATTTTTAAAAAACATTTAAAAAATCTTACAGACCTCGAAATGTTGAATGGAAGTGTGTGTGTGTGTGTGTGTGTGTATGTATAAATATATCCATCCATTTTCCAGACGGTTTGAATTTGTGTTTTGGCAAGCCTGAGCACAGTGCAGATGTTGAGATCTCTTCTGGAACTCTAGAAGAGACATATAGATTACTGTATATTTATCAGAAGAAAAATCTAAGCAAGATATTTAAACAAAATTCTCCATTTGGTCTTTGTTTAATCTCATTGATATCTGGGAGAAACAACTGACCCATTCCAGACATCTAACTTGTGCTGCTTCTATCCCATGGGGAGATATCAGTCAATCTAAATTCATATTACAGCTGAGTAGAGGAGGAGCAGGTTGTGATTTGCAGCACTTGATTGGCTGAGCGACTGTGACTGACACTTCAGAACCCAGCAAAGGCCCCACCCCCTTCAAACACATTGGCCTATGTCTGATCTTTCCACTGCCCTCTTGTTTAGTCTGTTTGGAGTCACAGAAAGGGAGAGAGACTTTTAACGCTGCATAACTATGAGTTAGTCTTTCATTGTTGTGGGAGTCAAACAGCTGATTTATCATGTGGGAATTACGTCTACCGAGGCAGGTCAGTAAAACTTTGTGCTGTTTGTTGTTTCTTGCTCTGCTCCAAACTTGTCCCAGCTTGCAGAGTTAAAGGGAGTGAAGACTTGTAAATTTCTAGCAACAGTTCTGGATATGTGTGTGTGTGTGTGTTTGTGTTTAATTGTGAAATGTGAAAGTCTTTCTGGTGCCGATATGTCTTGACTTCTGTCTCACCCCAGTGTGAGAGGCTTTTGTATCCGTGGTGGAAAGTGTGACCAGTGCACAAGAGAGGAAAATCAACTTGGTGTTGCTGCTCCAAAATCCCTCTTTTGTTTTTTTTTGTTTTCAGCTGTACTCAAGGGCAGGAGTACAGTACACTACAATTGAATAAATTATATTTTAGCTCAATTTTCTATACAATAATGTAGTACACCCTTTATTCTGGCAATCTCAATAGCTTGTGTTTTAAATGGCCCTCTGTGTTTAATGTTTATCCCTTATACTGAAATCATGTCATTCATTAATCAGAACGCAAGAGACTTCTGACCCTGAGCTACTGGGAACTTCATGCTATCACTAACACGCCTCACAGACAGGACGTGTAAAAAGGCACATGATAGAACAACTGTTGCAAACAGTTACGTGCAAAGTGCAATCGCTCTGAAAACGGATCATAGTGATAATCAGGCTTTTTCAACAGAAGTAACAGTCCTGCTAAACTTCACTACAGGTTGGTAAAGACTTTTTAAACTTACATGGAGACCGTCTTTCCTAGAAAGACCTACAAAACCCATCTTAATATTAGAGATGAATGAATGAATTTTGTTGGTGGCTGCCTCACTAAGTCATCTGTTTATAATGTTAACATGAACCTACGATGATATCTGCTTTTATAGTGAGCATTGCATTTCATCCACACGGCTCCATGTCTTACAATGACAATGCAAAAAATTCCCACAGTTCTTTAGTTGCATGCGTGCCCCAGCACACACAAGTGTCTATAGCATAGTGTCTCGTAAAGCTCTAACCTACATGGTGGCATAATATTTTTTTGTCTCCTCCCAAAGGCACTGAGCCTTGTCTCCATAACGAATTACAATGGGCAGGAACTTGTTGGCAGGAAGCAACAGCTGATATCCCATCCACAGCATGCAAAAGAAAAGAACATTCACACTGACTTTTCATCCCCCCTCATTATCTGTGTATTGCTGTAGTTTAATACGCAAAATAGAACTGATGGTAAACCGGTTTGTTCAGAAGGAAGGAAATTAGTACACTGCAAATAGGGGTGGGCAAAATGACCAAAATCTTATATCACGATATGAGTAATTTTACTTAACTGTAATGATATATATCACAATATAGTTATTTTTGCTTTAAATAAGGTCTTTATGATATCAAAATCTTTGATACCATTCAGTTTTCATAATTCTTGTCACCAGTATCAATATCACAAAAAAACTAATACTAGCTTAAATTTAAAAAAAAAGAAAAGAAACTAAAGCTCACTGAAGACAAGTAACCACTCAGCGATTAAATAAGAATAAGAAACTAATTACAAGCAATAGGACAAAAAAACAAACAAACAGTAGATCAAATAAAAAAGAATGCTACATATTGTATAAAGTAATCAAATGTATGAAAACACTGCATATTCTTCACTGTGTAAATTAAATATATTTCTTCTTATTAAAGTTACGAAAGTGATTTAGTCAAGAGCAGTGAGTTTTTCTCTCGTTTGTTGTTTGATTAACATGAACGACAGACAGCGGGAATAGACTGCTGTCACTTTAAGAGCTACGCGGATCCAATGTACTGTTACTGTACATATGTGTGTTTTCTTTCTCAGCTGTCTGCTTTCACTTAACACCTTAAATTACTGCACTGTAAAAAATGATATGATGAAAAAGCCATGACAACTTGTTTTAAGTTACTTTAACTCATAAAAATAATTTAAGCAATTTCAACTTTTTTTGATAAGTTATACTAGATTCAACTTGATTTTTTAAGTCAGTTTAATGTTACTGAAATTCAAAGAGCCCAATTTAGTTCAGTGAACTTAACATTTTAAGTTGTAGCTTTTTGGCACTAACCGGCCAAATCTCTGAACATGGATTCATGCGCAGGAGTCATATGATTTAAAAGACCACGATTCAAACTATTGTTAACCTTGTTCATTTGTGACTACTTTTTTAGAAAGACGTTTTTGTCAGCCGAACAACCGACATGTTAAACGTTACATTCAATTGGACGCACTGTAGGCCTAACGTTACATCTGTTCCTCACTCGTTTTCTATGACATTTGTTATTTTATTGGCCATCATCATATATTTTATATATAATTTTGTTTTACGATTGCAAATTGCTTACTGGTAACAGATTACAGGTAACAGTAAATGCAAACAAATGCATTATGTTGTATGAATCGGTCATATTTTAATCATGAACAAAAAGTCTGTAAAAGTGTTGTGTAACTTACATCTTTGGGCTTAACTGTAATTAGCAAGTAACCAACAATTCCCCGTTTACCTCCCTTTGTAGGCTATGACTGAGCACATTAAAGTGAGAATCACCGTCCATCTTAATATTTTTTTTTAGGCAACTCGGGTTATTAAAGGGTTATGAGGCTGTTGTATAGGAAATGGCTTTGCTTGTGTGTGTGTTGTTTACAAGTAAATTTAAGTTGAATAATTTTTTTTTTTTTTTTTTTACAGGCACACGCTTGTGAGTCTGAGACTGGATGAAGGGTGAGTTTTGCATTTCTGTACCAAATAAAGAGTATAAACTATATCTTAAGATAAGTCAATATTTGAACCACTTTAAAGTTTTTTTTTTTCTCCCTACATAATTTTATTTTGTATTTTTTTCAATTTACAGGCATTGTTTGTCTGTGAGTCTGAGACTGGATGAGGGGTAAGTTTTGCATTTCTGTACTAAATAAAGAATATAAACCATATCTTATTAAGATAAGCCAACATTTCAACGACTTCTGATTTTTTTCCCCTACATTTCTATCATTAGATCATTAGACAGCTGAGTTCGATCGGTGTCTGGGTC